CCAGTGCACAGCAATGTAAAAGTGATACTTTGTGATTGTTCTGAGTTTGAAATACATCTACTTTAGATGACAACTGTTTTGTGATGTAACACAGTGACAACTGTTATGTGATGTGTTTTCAATCACATACAGAGAAATTCAAGTTCTCTCTTGCTCTCATTCGTTTTTTGAGAAGCTGTACCTCTTCTGTGACCTGCTGAGTCATTAAACAATGAGGTGCTGGAGTTAAACCTCTCCCTCCACTGACATATTTAAGTACCTAGAAAATAAATTACCCTCACAGAGATTACTTTGCCTAGAATAAATTATGTCAAGCAGGCTCATTTCCATCTCTTGATTTTAGAAGAGCTCCTAACACTGTCTCACATGGCCATCCATCCCACAAGCAAGTCCAGAAAAACACAAATAGATGAGTACAGAACTGACTGTAAACTGGACTGAAATATTTAACATGAGCATGTTGTTAATTATGGTTGGACACAGCAAGCAGAATTCTGCAGGAGTATCACAAATCTGATATTTTCATTAAATAATTTAGATGGCAGAGCAGACAACTTTCTTGCCAGCCCCACTGGCTGGGAGGGCAGGAAGTGTCAGAGGACAGGGCTAGGATCTCAACACGCTTGGCAAATTACAGTAGGGGGAAAGGAAGTAATTCAGAAGATGTGCTTTCACTCTCTGCAGAGCAACCAACATCACAAATGCAGGCTGTGGACTTACTAGTCTGACAGCATCACTGTGTAAAGTGTGGCGGTTAGCATGGGTCACAAACAGAACGGCAATCAGCCGTGCCACTACAAAAAGGGCAAATAGCACTGGGAGCTGCATAAAGAGGAATATTGTTTGCCAGGCAAATGAAGCCATTCTATTGTCATGCTTGGGGCTAGAAAACCTTCAGTAGGGGAATTGTATTCTGTTTGGGATGGAAAAGCGAATTAGAGGTTTTATGAGGAGGCATTAGAGGAATTAGAGCGGTTTGTCCCAGAGAAAGGGAAGACATAGTAGGAGGGCCCTAAATATGTGTGCTGTATGGCTAATGGAGAAGACAATAAAGTCTTCTCATCAGCTGAAAAGGCTCAGTGGACAACACAGATCTGGGTTAGATGTTAGAAACAGCTTTCTCAAGGTGTAGGTGAAAAAAGAGTGAGAGAATAACACTGGGAATGACAGCCTTGGTTTCTGGGTTTCAAATGCAGATTGAACAAATGTCTGTCAGAAATTACTTGATGGAATTCATCCTGCTTTTTGGGTGGGAGGAAGAAAGCAATTTCCATCCCAGTTTTCTGATATTCCTATTTGGAGCCAAAGACCATTATTTATACATCTAAGTTAGATGTCTAGGTTATACATTGTCAAGACCAGCTAATTATCATCCCAAGGCTCTTCCTTTCCATTTCTATTTAATATAGCATAAGGTAAAAAAGTATTTATTTTGATTAATAATTCAAATCAGAAACAGCCATAAAGTAGGCTGGCACTACGCTATTCAAATTGTTCAAATTAATGTTTTCCAAGTGCTAAACTTTTTTAGAGCATATATGGCAGCTCTGCTAATGTCTAACCAGCTGATGATCTGGAGACCTGCCTATTGGACATCAGGATGATTCAGGTCAGTTAATAAATGCCATATTGGAACACACATTTAACTCTACAGCAGAAAGGATGCTGCGTGAAAAGGGGAAAAGGGAGCTCACACAAATATTACTCATTCACTCATTCAGAAAATGCTAAAACTCAGGCTCTGAACAGCCTTTGATATTTGACCTCTTCAGATGGCCTGTAATTAAGACTCTAATCCTTTAAACACTTTAATACACTTCACTTCAAGTTAATAGGATTAGTCACATGCCTGAAGTGTGCATGGCTGGGGCTGAGCTATTGTTGAGCACAGCTGATTACAAACTTGCAGACCCTTTCTGGTGGAATATTGTCTGACATTGTGTAAGTCCTTTCTAAACAGTTCTAGTCACAAGTAATATCCAAAAGTGAAGGTATTTAAGAAAAGTAAAACTTAGCTAAGTTCTTGCTTAAAAATGTACACACAAAAAGAACAAATCTGTCTGAACTTTTTCAGCAGGACAAATCAGAGCTTTGAGGGAAGAGATGGGAGATCTGAGAGGCATTGTATTGGTTTTCTGGAAGATGTAGGTTTAAATTCTCAGACTTTTACAATTCTTTCAAAGTTAGGATGATGTTAAATATGCAGAGAATCAGAGAGATCAGAGAGTTACAGAAAGGGGAAGAAACATTTTCTATCTATCTTGGTTTGCATTGTATAGAAACATCAGTTTGGCTTAAAGGTACAAGGTTGTTTCTTCTCTTGCTGCTGACAGACCAGCTGGGCTTGGGAGTCCTGGCAAGCCTAGTCTGGATCAGTGCATCACATTGTAAACATGTGCACGGAGGTTCCCATTTGTTGCAGGATGTCTGCCAGAAGAAGAGGCTGGGCCACATCAAGGCAGCGTGCTGATGTGTAACTTGTGCTAGATCTGAGTTTAAATGCCACGGGGGCAGCCTGGGAATCCCAGCACAGCCCAGTGTGGCTTGCTACTGCCCCATAAAATGCCCACAGCACACATTTACACAGTGCTTTCTCCCACTGGAGAAACACAGAGGTAAATCCCCTCTGCTGAGGGATGTGATGTCACAGCATTGTCATTTACAGGAAAAGGCAACAACTGTGGTTAAGGGTTTCCAAAGAGTGACATGCAATACACTGCAGCTGCAATGCCATTCCCTGGCCTGCTTGTGACTCCTCTTGTCGATGCAGGGAGAGATTTTTCCTCCACTCATTCTGAGGATCACAGTCAGCAGAATGAAGTCTGCATTTAGCCAAGTGTTCCTGCCAACTCTAACATGGACCAAAGCGAGCATGCCCAAAAGTCAAAGAGCAATCACTGCTCTGTCAGTACTTTGTCATACAGGAACCTGAGTCATACTAAAAGCCTCTCAAGGAAGGACACAGTGGAGATACCAGAAATTCAAGCTGGAGCAGGGAAATTCTGATGAAAACACCACAGCAGTGATGAGGTAGCAGATAAGACTGCCAGAAAACCAGCATCACAACCTTATAGACAGTAACACAGAGGGAAACACAATGCCAAAAATGGGAAGAAATTTGATGAACCACCAACTGCCTGTGAAGAGAGCCACACTAAGAAGTCTTAAAATTAAGAAATTCATAATACAAAGAGGGCAGGAAGCAGAAAAGGTGATCAGGTCTGAATCAGAAGTAAAAAGTCAATAAATTGAGATGGGAATAAAAAGGGGAAAAGAGAGAAGGATTAAGTTCTTACAGGATAAGGGGATAAATCAGGACTGTCCCAAGAAAAAGCAGTGTAGGTCAGGAGGACTGTCCACCCTTCACAGATAATGCCATGCAGAGATACCAGAGCAAGCATTACAGGAACAACTTGGATCTCCTGTACATCTAGAACTACAAAGGCCCTGCAAATGATCTGTGGAGTGCCTGACTCAGATAAATTGTCCTGTGCCTCCCATCAGCTAAGGCCTGGATACCTTTACACCAGGCTGCATGTGACTTATAGCTATGCCCAGAAGGGAAGATCAGATATGACAAAAAAAGCGAAGGCACAGGAGAGGCAAAGGGAAACTGGAAAAAGCAGGAAGGTATCGGAGGAACTGAAAGTGAAGAGTTGTCAAGTACTAGCAGTGTTAAAGAATTTATGTTAAAGAAGGATTAAATGAAGGGGAAAAGGTTCCTTTCGGTGCCCACGTTTTTATGAGAAGCAGTGTGGAGTAGAGGATTTTTTGTCAGATGGATCTCAGATAACAGATCCAGGAAATGAGCTGGAAACCAATGCAAGGGAAGAGTCCAGTCAGCTGGTGTTCTTGCACAATTTTCTGGTTGGTCAGACGTAGAAAAATATTTAAACCTACACACAGAGAGCATTTTGTTTGGCCACTCTGCTGGTCAGCACTGCTCCTGGGAGCCCCGTTTATCAGGCAGTATTCCTGCAGCGGGGAGCGCATTGCTGAAGTAACCGTGACACCCCTACAAGTCAAGCACCAAGTTCGAAGCCTCAATAAGCCAAGAAAGATTGCTGAGGAAACTTAATCCATATTCCTCCTTTGTTATAGGATTTCTGCCTAGCTGATGTCCACTCAGGGACGAGCTGGCAGCTGGGAATGCAGGAGGGACAGGGGCAGATGTCAGGGTGTGCTTGGAGCTACTGGCCATTGGCCCAAAAGGCTTTTTCTTTTCGAAACCGCACAATTCCCACTGTCACTGAAAAATGAAGAATTGCTATTGGAAAAAAATAAAAGAAAAAAGTAGTTTTTTAGGTTTTATTGACACATTCGGTGTAATCACAGAATCATAGAATGGTTTGGGTCGGAAGGGACCTTACAGATTATATCGTTCTGACTCCCCTGTTGTGGGCAGGGGACACCTTGCACTGGACCAGGTTGTGTCAAGCCCCATCCAACCTGGCCTTGACCAATTCCGGGGATGGGGAACCCACAACTTCTCTGGGCAAGCGGTCCCGATGCCTCACCACCCTCACAGTAAAGAATTTCTTCGTGACACCGAATCTGAACCTACTCCCTGTCATCCTGAAGCCGTCACCCCACGTCCTCGCAAACAGCCTCTCTAAAGCGTTTCAGGGGTGAAGCCGAGCTGGGCGGAGGGACAATCCCCGGCATCGGCGCCAGCTGTGACGAGGAGCGGCGAGAAGCGCCGGGCCGGGCCGGGCCGGGCCGGGCCGGGCCGGGCCGGGCCAGGCCGGGCCTGCCCCGGGGCTCTCAAAAGGCGGGCCCGCCACCGCTCGAGGCCCCGCTGTCCTACGGGGCTCCTCAGACGCGGCTCCCCGATCCCTCCCTTTTGCCAGCCCCGTTTGCCGTGGCGAAGCTCCGCCACAGGGGAAGTGACGCCGGCGCCAGGCGAGGTTATATAAAGGGTAGGCGGCAGCGGGCGGAAGCGAGCGGGGCCGAGCGGGCGGCGGGGCGGGGGGCAGCGGGCAGCGAGCGGGGCGGCTGCCGCAGCCCCCCGTGTTCCGGTCCGGCCATGGATTTCCGCAACATTCTCGTGATGGCCTCGGAGCAGCAGGGGCTGAATGCGGTGCCGGTGAGCTCGGGGGCGGCTGGGGCTGCCGGGAGGCGCGGTGGGGTCGGGCCCCGGGAGGGCCCCGCGGCCGCGGGAAAGCCCTGCCCATCCTGTCTCGGCCCTCGCCCGGGCAGCGCCCGCCGACGGGCTCTGCGGGGCCTTTCGGCTCGCCGGCCGGGGCTGCTCGCTCCTGGCAGCTGGAGAAGCGTCTGTGTGCGGGGAAGGGGCGAGCGGGCCCCCTCTGGCAACAGGTGCCGGCACGCCCGGGCTGGGAGCGGGCAGCCGCGGATTGCGCCTCCCGGCCGGCCAGTGCCAGGATCCCGGGAGAGAGCCCTGCTGCGGGGGAAGGCACTGCCTAAAAGCCGGCTAAGTCCTTTTGTTTGCTCTGAAAACACAAGTGTGCCACGTCTCAAGTGCGACTCGGAGACAAAGTGACAAGTTTTGGGGGAATGGGCTGCGTTGTCTGAGGTCTCTCTGTGCGCCGTGAAGGACAGCGCTGTGGGGAGCTTTGACGGAAGGCTTTTACTATATTGCTTATATTGTTCTGAGATATGTGCTTCAGCAGTTTGTGTTTTAGTTCAAGCTATCAGTAACATGTGGATTCTGTATGAAATAACCCACTGATTTGCCTGGATGAAGTGTGGCAGGAGGAAGGGCACGTGGCCCTTTCATACATCAGTATCCTGGGTTTCGTTCCTCTGGGAGGACCCAAATTATGAGTCATGCCTGCTTATTTTTATAAATAATATTTTCTCCTTGGTAGCCACCAGCTAGGGAGACACTTTTTCTGTTTGTTCTTCAACAGCGTTCTAGAGTTTTGTTTCTATTTATTAGTTTGCTTAAACCCAGTGTAAATGAGGGGTAGCTGTTTTTTAGCAAAAACGGTGGGAAAACCAGGAAAAAAAATTACTCTGTTGTGCAATGTCTTCATTTTGGTATTATCAGAACCAGTGAATATCTCAGTGTCTCTATATTGTTAGTAAAACTTTGGTAATGTTCACTAATAGCATGACTAGTTAATAAAATGTACCTACCATATGTTAGATGTGAAATTAATCAGATTCCATTGTGGGTTTAAAATCTCATGAAATCTACTTTTTTCTATTTAGGCACATTTAATTTGTCTCTGACCCTACATAGGAATCTGGTTCATAGCATAAATAATATAATATCTAGAACTACTTTAGGATATTTAAATGCCAATTTGATCGGTCTTAAGCTGTTTCATGAAGTTGTCACTGAGTTATTGCAATTCTTATTTTAGATGTTTAAATCTTCTCTTTACGTTCTCAGTTTCCCCATGCAGCTTTAGTGTGTGCCATTGCTTTTTTTGTCACACGTAGTTTCAAGTCATGATGATGAACTGATGAAATATCTGCCCTATTCTCCATTTCGGATGGGATGGTGGAGGGAGAGGATCCTCCTTGTTGTGCAATGGATGAGAGTTTAGCTGCTCATTTCAGAAAAGGCAGAATTAGGATTTGCTAATTCCTGATTAACTCATGGAGTGAGAGTGCAATTCAATCCATAGTTGACATAGTTTGATTTAGCACATTGCTGGTGCAGCTTTTAAGTCTGAAGCTGGCCTCAGTCTGAGCAAAAGCAGAGCTGCACTTGGTACTGCTTGAAGCTATTTGCAGCTGCTGGGCTTTAAAAGAGAGCCCATGGAGATTTTACAATCACTGGACATCTAAACAACTCCACTGTGTTAAAGCTAGTACATTAAATGTGTTTATATTTGAAGAATATAATTATTTTTAAATACTTTTAATAGAAACACTATATAGACTAATTGAACATTTACTGGTATATAAAATTACCCGGTTTCCATGATGTTAGTTCCCGCATTAATGAGCGTATCTTCTGAATTTCTAAGTTTGTTTTAAACTTTACAGTGCACCTAACTAAATATTCCATGCCCTCTGTAATGAAAAACAGTGGCATGAAGAAGTAGTGTATATTCAAAGTATATATAAATATATATTCACACACACTATACAGGTAGTGTTTAGTTCAAAGTGGAAACTATATAAAAACTCCAAGAAATAATGTGGCCTTGTATTGTTGAAGAGGGGCCTGGATAAAGCAGCTATTACATCATGTCCCTATAAAAACAATTCTGCTTGTTCATCTCCCTATGGAAATCCAGATTCAAAAGGAACATTGCTGAAATCAGCCTTTTGGTGCCCTGTTAGTTGCATCAGGTTTTGTTTCTAAATAAGACGGTACATATATGAACTACTGTCTAAGCTATTAATGATGTGCTGCTAATCATCTTCACAGCAGTTGCTGAGTAGAGCCCCAGATTTTGTCATCTAATATTCCATAAGGGTTTCACTGCTGTATCTTGTTACCTGTGTTCATATTAGCAGTTCATTAGATTTTCAGTGTGGTCTTGCTTTGACTAGAGGTGATAATAGTTACGAGATTTAAGTTGATTTTAGAGAGGTTTAAATAGATTGTGTCACATTTTTTGAGAAATTGGTATACTGTATTGTGCCACGTGTTTCATATGATGTGGCAAAGCACTTTCAGTTATTTTTATTCTCGCTATTCTTTAAATTATGAAATTTTACTGTAGCTTAAAAAAAATAGAGAACCCTGAGGACCGCTGGAACCAAGTCATTCTTTTATTTCACCGTAGTTTCTAATAAACTATTAATGACAGTATAAACATCTCATATTGCTCCCAATTCCTTTTAACTGAGGGTGACACTTTGGTGTACAGAACTTACAGAAATCGGATACAATTTAACCACAAAGAGGTGACGCAAAACCGAAAGAGCTCATCATCCACGTCAGCACTTGTGAGGTCTCACTTTAAATTAGAATGATAAAATGCAGCCTCCAGTGAAACTGGCAGATATAAACATCCAGAGGAATTAAGCATTTGTGAAGTGAAACATTTCACAGAATCCCAGAGTTTGTTCAGAGGAGTTTGGGTTACAGAGCCTGCCCATCGAATTCTAATCTACGAATTATCGAGCATTTGCCCACAGGCAAGAGAAGCCCTGCATGAGAAATAATGGCAATGGCTGTGAAGTGCAGATTGCTGCTGTAGGACCAGACTCCCATCAATTGATGTGTGTGCATTTATTGTGTGCTTAAAACTTGCCTCAAAACGGGACCTAAAATTCTTTGGATTGGATCAGCTCCCACAGGAGAAGCTGCAAGATATACAGTGTGAAATGTTGGCAGGGGTGAGGAGGGCTTTTGCTCTCAACTTGACTGACCTGGTAGTAAAGTTCCAGACTGTCAAGGTTTAAATTCTGACTAGTAACATTTCCAGCTTTTCCTATTCCTGATTTTTTTTTTTTTTTTTTTTCAAAAGCAGATGAAAATGGAGACCACAATACCACTACAGAAAGGAAAGCATAAAGTATCTGTTTTGTTTGGTTGGTTTTTTTCTTCTGTGTAAAGCAACTTTTAATAGAAGAAATCTCTGCATTTTTTCCAGCTAAAGGTTCTGCTTGCATGTTGTGACAGCAGAACTTGAAAGCAGCAGTTAAGAAATCACGGTGTGTGTATTCTAAGACGGTCTCACTGCAGAGTCAGCTGCTGGGAACCTCGTGGTGAATCTGTAGCAGAAGCTTTGGAAATAGCAGTTCAGGATGAAGGGCAGAGGCCCCTGGGTAGTGAACACAAATGCCCACTGACAATGTGGAAAGCTGCCTTCTGAAGAACTGACATTGCAAGAGGAGTGACACAAACAAGGATGTTTGTGGTGGGTGAACCATTCCTGATGCTCTCAGGAAGTTACACCCTGAAGAATGTTTAGGGGGAAACAGGGACTCCCCATTGGAGAGGGTTAAATGTCTTAGCAGCTGATAAGGAAGAATAGGCAGAGTGTTGTAACATGCTAGTGAAAAACAAGCAAGTAAAAGAATCTCCCCATCCTGTGAGAGCCCCTGCAAGTTGACTGCAGTGGATAAGACAAGTGGAATTGTTTGCACTGCATGTGCAAGCCCATTGCAATAACTGAACTGCATAGGTGCTCCACTTGAGAATCGGGTTTGATCACTTGCATTGATCTTGCATTGCCACCTGTGTAAATATTGACCATTGTTAAAGGCAATTCTGCTGCTGTTATTTGTGTCTGGCACTGGTGTTTGGTCTGGGCCCCTTGGGGCTTCATTTGGGTGCCAAAAGTTATTTCATAAATTCTGTTTTACAGTCCAAGATTGGGTACTTGAATGCTGACATCAAAGCAGCTACAAACCTATCAGGATCATGTGCCGTGTTTTGAAGGAAATCAGTGATTCAGAGTAAATAATCACTGTTTGCTACTCTAATAGTGTTCTGGGAACAGCTTGACCTGCTCTTTCCTAAAGGCTAAACATTCCTATTCCTCTGATTTAACCAACTTAGTAATAGTTATTGAATGCCAGAATAGTGCATCTGCTGTTTGGATGATACAGTGACTTGTGCTGCCTTATTTTGCCTGCTTTATCTGCAGTCTGATGCATATTCATCTAGACCGTATATAAAACACTTTATTAGTGTTTGTGGAACGTGTGTATGGTTCAGTGCTTTTAAAAAGGCTACGCTTCAGAAGGTTATTTTATGCTGTTGCTGAATGAAGGTGAACAAGACTTCTATCAGCAATAGGACAGAAAATGGGTATTCATTTATTAATTATTTTGCTGTGTTTTCAGTTGTTACTCAGTATTAAGAAATGCTACTGATAGGAAGACTTAATTTAAATTTTGCATGATTTGTCATGTTAGAGGCAGTCAGAAAAGAGCTTGTCTGTCAAGCTGCTTTACAAACCTGCTCCTGGATAGGGCTGTTGGTCACAGTGCAGCAAAACAATACCTGAAAACTGCTTCCCCATCACTTTAATTCTTTATAAGGTTTCCCAACAGAATAGATGATCTACATTTGTCCCTGCTGTTTAGCAGTTTTCAAAGGTGCTCCTTAGGCACAAAGTCATTTAGGCTGGAAAAGATGCTTGAGTCCTACACAGTCTTTTAAACAGAATTTTGAAACAGAGTATACAGTTGAAATACAATAATTAAATGAAGCTTTGCCAAATTAGGTTACCAGTGGCAAAACATGACGCATTTAATTTTGTGAGATAATTTACATAGACATCATTATACTAAGATGAGTATACTACAGAATACTGCAAATAATTTCTAAGGTACTAATTTGCATCAACCTGTTTCTGACAGGATTTTGACTGATAATGTGTGGATTGCTTTGCCTCTGTCTGTTCCAGTTCAAATGGAGTAAACCAGATTTCTTTGGGACACAGAGCCATGGGCCACGTTTGAGCAAAAGCTGAGAAGCAGTGCTGCATCGCAGTTCAGGGTTCCTGAGCAGTCAAGTCCTGGAGTGCTTTTGGTGCAAACAAGAAAATCGGTTCTCAGACTGTGGTAAATTTTCTTGCAGAGAGATGAAGCTCAGTAAATGAGCTTGGCTGTCGCAGGTCTCTGATGTGATGAGGTGACATGGAAGGTTTTAATATGCAATGTATATGGAGAGTGCACCTTGTAGTTCTGCTCTGGTCATTTCAGAAGCTGCTCAGGGAGACTGCAAGTGGCTGGTATTGTAGCTGCCCTTCTTGGAGCCAGTTTTGGATGTTTAGAAATGAGCCTCCAAACCTTGCTTCTTAGTGTACGTACATTCAAGCTCATTTATGGGTTTAAATGTTAGTAATTAAAGTAATCCCAGGATCTAGTCATATGCTGCTGATAAATGAATCAGAAATAAGATTGAAGGCTTCCATTGTGTGATATTGATGTATTTATAGGGAGTTATGCTGCCAACCTGCCTGATTATTGCTTCTAAAACATTCGGATGTGGATTTCCTTACCAGATATTTTATTTTGATTATTTCAGTTAAGTTTCGTAAGTCTCTTTGTTAGCATTGAAACACATAATCACAGGATGATTATATGCTGATGCTTTTATTGAAGAGCTCTGGGAATCAGGGGTGCAGACCCAAATCTGACTGACATGGATTCCAGATGGAATATTTTTATACCCTTTTCGTTATATAACTATATATTAATTATTAAACCCATATTGTTCTATTGTATACATTGATCTTATCCAAGCATGAATTTTTGTCATTTTCATCAGGCCCCCCAAATATCCTTTCTCATGATTCTTGTTACCATTACATAATTTTTCATGATTCTTATTACAATTAAACAATAATCATATTCAATTACCAAACAATTGTTACATTTAACAGTCATATCGTTTATCATATGATGATTATGCAGGTGTAGCTTCACATGATCTAGAAAAGACAAAGCTCAATATTCATTCCCTTTCCCAGGCCTACCAGACCAAACCTTTCTTTCCACCCCCTGAATCTATTGTATGCAATTCCCATGATTTTAGAAACATTTTAACCCTATGCTATCATCTTTGAGGACAGAAGATATTTGTAGATATGCTGACTTGTGTGGCTCTTTAGGGATACTTTTTAATATCGGTCGGTTTTTTCACATCTTTCATTTGGTGAGAATTTTAATGTCTTGGTTTAATCTATTGGCTTAGATCTGAAATAAAAAAACTCCACCTTCTCAAAGCTCGGGTTTGGGTTTCTTTTGTTCCTGGATGTATTCCGCTTTCCTTCTTCTTCTGGATTTAACTGCCTTCTATTGTATTTATCTTTGCAACTCTCTTTCTCACTGCTTTGTTTTTTCTTCTATATTTTGTTTGTGGGAAGAAGTAAAAAATTATTTGCTTCCCCATTTTAGGTACAACCTGATACATTTGTGAAAGGCAGTGTCTGAACAGGTGTAGCACATTAATGCAAGTGGTTGTTATAGAACTCATTAAGAGGCACTTGGGCACTTAACATTGATTTGAGTAACCTTTATTGGATATATGAAAAGCAAAAAATGGGGTAGCATAGATAACTTGGCATCTGTTCAGTTGGTGGAACCTCAGGTTGCACAGCACTGGACAGACCTTTAGGCATGACAAGCTGAGCAAATCCTGTCTTTGATGCATGTAATCAGTGTTGTAGTCTTTAGAGCTTTTGCAGGATGTCCTGGGAAGTTATAAGCACAATTTATCATTTCCTCTGCCAAGGAAAAGGATGTTATATGAACATGTGCAGCTTCACCTCAGGATATAATGAGATACAGAATCATAGAAGAGGGACTGTTAAAGGTGATCTAGTCCAGCTCCCCTGCAATGGGCAGGGCTGTCTTTAAACAGATCAGGTCACCCAGAGCCCTGTCCAACCTGACCTTGAATGTTTCCAGGGATGGGGAATCTACAGGCTCTCTTGGCAATCTGAGCCAGTGTTTCACCACTCCCATCAAACAACTTCTAGTTAGAATCTACCCTCTCTTGGTTTAAAACCAATACCCCCGTCCTCGTTACTTTCTCTGCTAAAAATTGTCCCCATCTTTCTTATAAGCTCCTTTTCAGTACTGAAAACTGCAACAGGATCTCCCTGGAGCCTCTTCTCCTGGCAAATTACACCATGTGCAAGTGCTGTAATTGCCAGGTGCCAGGTGGGGGCTGTGTATTCTGTCACAGTTAGTGCTGAGGTCACACTGGTCTCAGGTGATAAGCAGAGTGCAGGCCTGCACTGTTTCAGGTCACCTGCTGTGTAGATCACCGACTCCTTGATGTACAACAGTATTGTATTTAAGGTCACTGCCAGCAGGAGGTAAAGTCAGTGTTGTTGGTTTTACATCAGCCTATTAATTATGCTGGTGAAGTCCATTCCAATTCTTTGAGTAATTCGGTTTTTTGAGTTGATTTATCTATTGTTACTGAATTAGGTAACCTGAAACTGAAATTAGTGTCTACAAGCAAGCTAAAATGGGAGCTGTAAACCTGCAGTCTGGAATTGAATTGACTCTGGCAGCTTGGGCTGTAGTTTGCTTTTGGTTCCTTTTGGTCAAAGACTAAGGCTGAACTGAAATACGTTTATTCCATTATTAATGCAGCCATTGCATTCCTTATTAGTCCAGTGTGTTTCACTCATTTTGCTTCCCTACCTGTCTTCTGGTTTCCTGTTCATTCCTTCCAAAAGCTGAGTGAGCTCCTGTTGTGGATGAGTGGAATGTATCTCACTCAAAAGACAGGCAGCAATGTATTTTGAGATAAAATAATGATTTGACAATTCACTGGAATTTATTAAAGTTCAACAGTGGTTTGACAAGGTTTAATAAGTTTAATGCAAGGTTCATTTAATTAATTAATGGAAGAAATGTACAAAAAAGAAGGCGAGTTCAAATTAGTTTGTTTAGAGTAATTCTCAGAGCCTGCCAATGCAGAGAACAAGAAGCACAGTCCTGTTGAGTCACAAGGTTCTGAGTGGATTCTTTGCTCTCTAAACTTGGAGTGTAGGAGTGGCTGGATCCATTCTTAGTCTGAGACTGGGTCAGTGATATATATTTAATGGAATTATCCATACAGTGTTTGTAATAATATGGGATGGATGGATTAGTAAAGTTTCATAATACTAATGCAACATCCTCTGTCACGTACTGAGGATCTGTTGTGAGTAAGGAATCTTTCCACCTTGGGTAAGGAAAGATCTCTTAGTTTCAGGTAAAGATTTTCTGCCTGAGTAGCATCCCTGCTCAAGGGGTCACCTGGCATCCAGTTAAGTTGCAGTTCAGGCAGAGCCCAAATCAGATCCATCCTGATGAGAATATTTATAAGATTAAGTAGTTGGCTGCTGGCCAGTGGTATAGACATGACAGTTGTCCTTATCTTAGTGCTGAGTATCTTGTGCTTGACTTTGATTACCTTGCCCTTCTGATGGTTATGAAACCACTTTTCAAAAAATTTTTCAAGACATCTCTACTCCCTTGGACCAGGCACTTTCTAGCTTGCAAGATTCTCCCAAGGACTTGGAGCTGGTTGCTCCTTAATTAGCCTGAAAGTACAACTGTGAGACAAATGTATCCAGCACAAACCTCCGTTTCAGTGGGAATTCATTATTTACTCTGTATCATCTCTGTGCTTAAGTGAAGCACAGGACAGTTATGCAACTCCTCAGTTTTAAAGACTGGTTTTTACATTTCTTAACTCTTCTGACATATTTATTTGTTCTTTGCAGAAAAGGTACAGTTTGGCCGTTGGTCCTCCCAAAAAAGTTCCCAAAGTCAAGGGTGTAGAGTCTGCAGCAGTGCAAGCATTTCTCAGGCGACAAGAAGAAGAAAAGAGAAAAAAAGGTAAAAGTACAAAATATCTCCTATGGGAGACTTTCATTCCTTCTTTAGTATATGTCACCTTATTCAAAGTTCTTGCAAATGCAAGAATTGCAAATTGCAAATGCAGCTGCACGTCTGTTTCTGCAATTTATGCATAGACCTGATGCTGAGGGAAAGCTAGAACTAAGTAAGGGCTGGGGATGTTTGCTTGCTTTTCTAAGGAGTTAAAACATTAATCAGCTACATTAGAATTTATGGCTGGAGATTGAGAAAGCAGTTAATGTGAAGAGCAAAAAACTTTCTCAATTTTTCATTAGCTTAAATTTGAAAAGCTTCATCTGTGTGAAGAAATGGACAGAGTTGCTGTTGTGTCTTAATCTAGTGTATCAATACAGTGAATTTTAAAGAGTCTGAGGTACAATTTTTCCACTTTTATATTTCCTTTAAATAGTCTATGGAATAAACTAGTACTGCATTGCTTCTGATGTTAATGTTTTGATAAAGGTAACCAAATCTGATGGACTGGATGGCCCGGGTTATTCTTCCTCACCTGGGCCAGTCATGAGTCTGTTCCTTATCCCTGCTGCCACGTCCAGCCAGAAGCAAGACTAAGCATGAATTCCACATGGGGCATATTGGCACACTCTGTGCTGTCACAGCCCTTGACAATAGAATAACACAGATGAGGAATGGTACCTTTTATAGGCACCCAAAGTATGAGTAACCAATTTTCTAGGATTTTTTACTTTTTCTGAGTCTTTCTGGTATTTAGCCCCCACTCCTTGGTCTGTCCAGTATTTGGCATTTAGATGTCTCATTCACCAGCTAGTTCAGCCTGACTGTTGTCAGCAGGTCACAGACATGAGATCAAGCACATACTAATGCAGAAAACAGCTAAGCCAGAACAGTAAGGATATAGGGACAGACTGTGGAGATAGGGCACAGGGCTCTATCAGACTTGTGTAATTACCAGCTCCTTGCTTATCTGTGTTCAGCTGCCTCTGTGTCTCCCCTATATCCCTCTACACACACATACTTCAGCATTTTCCAGTTCTTATCCCCCCAATACTCATATTCCCTCTTCTTCCTCAACTTCCCTTAAACATTTGATAGTAAGTTCTGTACAATCTCAAGATTCCCTTGCTCTGTCACAGAATTCCCTCCACTACGCAGAAATCCCATAACTTCTGTACCTGCTTATACAAAGCAACCTTCTTATACAAAGATTCTTCCTAATTTTTGTAACATCCTGGAAAGCTGCTTCCCTCAAAAAGCCTTAGTGGATTTTGTTATAGCAGCATTTCACTCAATTGCTTGCCTTTGTTGGAGCAGCTGACACAGGTGGGTTAGCCTGCCCTGTTGGCAGACCTGGGGTCACTTTCTGGTCTGTTTTGGATAGCTATTAGCCAGATATCCTTAAGTTACTGTCCTAAGTGGTTTGTTAGTTTGGAAAATATTGAAATAACAAGTAGTGCTTTTGTGTAGCTTTCTCCTGGTTTTCTTGCAGCACTGGAAGAAAGAAGGAAGAAAGAGCAGCTCTTGGCGAGGCGTATTGAACTGAAACATGACAGAAAGGCAAGAGCTATGGCCTCACGAACAAAGGATAATTTTTATGGCTATAATGGTGTTCCTGTTGAAGAGAAGCCTAAAAAGAGGAGGGCTTGTGAGAATGTTGCTCAGGTCCCAGAGGCTGAGTATGCAACAGAGGATGAAACTGAGCAACTTGAATACAGTCAGACAGAATCTGAGCATGAGCAAGAAGAATATGAAGAGAAACCATCCAAAGTTGCAGTGAAACCAAAGGTGCCTCCCAAAAGTGCACCAGCACCTCTGAACTTTGCAGAGCTCTTGAGACTTGCTGAAAAGAAACAATATGAACCAGTGGAAATAAAACCAGTCAAAAAGGTAGAAGAGAGGCCTAGAACAGCAGAAGAATTGAGAGAGAGGGAGTTTTTAGGGCGCAAAAACAAAAAAGTAGAAATGCATAAGAAAAGTGAGAAGGAGATTAAGCCTACAGGGATATCTAGTTCTTCAAAAAAACTATCTTCTCAAAAAGCATCTGTAAACACAAAACTTAATAAAAGCTCAGTAGATAAACATTCCACATCTAAAAGCAGTCTGCCACTTTCTACGGGTGGTACTGATAAGAAATCCAAAGCACCAGCATTGACTGAAAAACACTCACGGTCATCATCTTCTAGACTTGATCAAATGGAAAAAAACTCACAAAATGGTTCCTTAAAAAGCTCTACTGGTAGCAGTCATAATAAATTACCTGTCAATGGTATTAGGAAGTCTGGCTCAAGCTCTCACGTGCCACCCTCAAAACCCATGGTCAACGGCGCTCAGAGGATGCCATCTGCAAAAGAATCCAGCCTGAAAAAGTCTGCCCATGCAAAATCAGGAAAACCTGCAGCCCTTCAACATGGAATCAACTCCAATGCAAAACGATCCGGCAGCAGCTTAGGAAAAGGAGGACCTGGACATCCTGCAGGTGGTTCAAGTGCAGGACTGGGGCGATCAAGCAGCAATTCTGGTATGGGGCCTGGAAGGCCAGGAAGCGGTTTAAGCTCAGGACCTGGGCGACTGGGCAGCAGCTCAAGCACAGGACCTGGGCGACCAGCAGGTGGCTCAGGCGTGGGGCCAGGAAGGCTGATGGCCAGCTCAAGCACAGGACCTGGGCGACCCGGCAGCAGCTCAGGCGTGGGACTTAAGCGACCAGGCTGCAGCTTGGGCACTGGACCGGGAAGGCCGGGCAGCAGCACAAACATAGGACCAGGGCGACCAGGCAGCAGCCTGGGAACAGGACCAGGAAGGCCAGGAATCAGTCCAAGCACAGGAGCCAAGCGACCAGGCAGCAGCTTGGGCACTGGACCAGGGAGGCCGGGCATCAGCACAAGCGCAGGACCTGCGCGACCAGGCAGCGGCCCGGGCACAGCTGTGAAACCCAAGTGTACTGTCGTGTCAGAAACCATTTCTTCTAAAAACCTTGTCACAAGACCTAGCAATGGACAGATGAATGGAATGAGACCTTTTCCAGGACATAGACCTGTGCTTCATCCACAAGGTATGCGTTTATAGAACAAAAAGTTTTTCACTGCTGTGGTTTAACTCCAGCTGGCAACTAAGTACCATGCAGCTGCTTGCTTGCCCTGTCCCCCCAGTGCAGAGAAGAACTGGAAAAATCCCAAGTGAAACTCAGATAAGAACAGTTTAATAATTGAAACAAAATTAAATATAGCAGCTTTAAATTTATTTTATTTTTGCTTACGTATGCTTGTAATTTTTGAAATACAGGGTGGTGTGAAGTAGCAGATAAAAAAAACTGAAGCAGCCTGTGATGGATACTGGTATATGAATGCTGTTTGAAGGAAAAGAATTGAAGGATTTGCTTCCAGCATTGCTTGATAGTTGGTCTATAAAACGTCGTAGTGTCTTAAATAACAGATGCTTGAAGGGCTAGATGAAAAATCACTCACAGGTTTTACATTTCAGTGTTGTGGCAGATTTATCTTAGTGGTGACAAGCCGTTCTAAAAATTTATTTCTGATCAGGAGCAAGCAGTGTGGAGTGGAATGTAGTGAATAAGTGCCTGGAAAGCCCTGAACAAAGAACAGTTATCTGCTGAGTGGTTTCCTCAGGCTGCCATTGCTGATACTGATAGGTAATCTTCTCCAGCACAACTCAGAGGAAGTATTTCCTGTTGCTGAATTTCTGAGAAATGTTGGTTAACTTGAGGCAGAAGTTTTCCACCTTGAAGCCCAAAAAATGACTATGCCCAAGGTATAGCAAGGAGAAGTACTGTTAAGTTAAAATTATGTTTGTGTTATTAGTTAATGATTTGACATATTCTGTCCTGTCATTTAGGTCTTGGAAGACCACCTGTTAGTTACAAGAGACAAATAGAAGATGATGATGATGATGAATATGACTCTGAAATGGATGACTTCATTGAAGATGAAGGGGAACCTCAAGAAGAAATATCAAAACATATTCGGGAAATATTTGGCTATGACCGGAAAAGGTAAGAAAAGTAACGGTTTTAAGATACTGAAGAACGAGCAGTAGAACAAGTAATTATTGTTCCTAAGAAGGCATATTAATTCATTAGCTGCTTTTTTTTAATGTGCTGAAAACTGATATTTAATTTTCAGGTACAAAGATGAAAGTGATTATGCCTTACGTTATATGGAGAGCAGCTGGAGAGAGCAACAGAAAGAAGAAGCTAGGAGGTATGCATGGGTTTGAACTCAGATGCAAATTGCAAAGTTGTTTGTTGCTGAAGTCATAGGGCTAAGCTAGCAAATATCTACTCTTTTTACAGCAGAGGTAAATAAGCCTTACAGGTTTTTTATAAGAAAGCTTAAGTAAAAGATGGAATTCATATAGCCAGTGATGGATACATTACATAAGTCGTGTGTCCTTGTCTATCTTGCTAGTTAAGAACCAATAAAAAGCAAAACTGATTTCCAAAAATACTTTAAAAATAATACATTTCAGTTCAAACTCTATATCCTTTCATTTGTCCTAGGCATTACAATGTTCTGCTAGTTTGAGAGCTGGAAATTTTATTTGTTTTTATCTATACATGTGTGTGTCTATTTCTATAAAAGTATAAAATGTATGCTGATAAGCTTTTGTAGTCACTGATTTAAACTATGAAGATATTTTCATGTTGGTTTTGGCCTTTGGGCTAGCACAATTTTTGTCATAAACTGATACTTTGTTTTTAAATGAGTGGTGGGAGAAACTTTATGAAAGCTATAAGGATTTTTTTGTAGAAAATGCAAATACTGGAATGCATGGTGTCACGAAATTCTTTTGTTCTGCTGAAATTTATATATGGTTATTCAGAAGGTGCCTTGAGCATTAGAAACTTGCCTCTTTGAAGTTATAGTCAGTGTCCTTATTCCTCCTGGGTCCTGAGGAATAGCTGCAGCCCATGGAAAACTATAGTCTTAAGTGGAGTTAGGAGAAATAAATGGAATTTTAAAGTGATATTGCTGCTAACCAAACTCTCTGACATCTTAGAGTGAGAATTTGCAGAGTTGAATTTCTGACTTGCTTTTAACTACACATGTAGCATAAAGGCAGTGGAGATGAGAAACTTAAATTCAGTTAAATTCAGGTTTACTTTTTCAGTGGATCTGTTTCAGTAGCTGATTTTTGGGAGGAAAAAAAGACCCTATGTATTAATTTTTTAATCCAATCTCTATTTTTTGACAGAAGTTTAAAGTGTCCTTTTCCCTTGAAATATTTGATTGTGATCTTAAGATTTTAAAAAAATCTTGATTTCTTAAAGCTGCATTCATTCTATAATTAAAGATCTGATATGAAATTATTCTTCAGATCAGCTGTAGTACTTTTAGCATTGCTTTTCGGGCATGTAGAAGTAAAACCTCAAGTGTCCTGAGTAGCAGTGTAAAGGATTTAATCTTGTTTGGCAGCTTGAGACTCGGTGTTCAGGAAGACCTGGAAGAACTGAGACGGGAAGAAGAAGAACTGAAACGCAAGAGGCAGTCGAAGAAGCTGAGGACACGTTAACTGACTTATGGTGTTGACTTTGTTCATGTTTCTGCTCCCCTCTGCCTCCATACATCTCTTATTCTACTTCAGTTTCCATTTGCTTGTTAGAGAGCAAAAGAATATTTAAAGGGATTAAAGTACTGAAAAGCAAGGCTTTAGTTTGACCTAAATAAGATATTTATTTTTAATACTTGCCAGGGTTGTTTTTTATGAAGAAATTAATGCACTAATGCATATTAAATGGAATAAAGTTAATAGACATTAATTCCATTGATTAAACCAGTTCAAGATGCCAGCAGAAATATTGACTAGCTATGCACTGACTTGGAACTGTGTGGGCCACGTACCAGTAAACCAGTTTTGCATTCGCTTGAAAGAAAGGAATAGCATTCTTGTTCCCTGATATTTCTTGAGACTTGGGGAAATTGCTCTATATCTTGCCCTGTCTCCCAAAACGAGCCTCCAAGTGTTAAAATGTCACCTTCTGTACAGGAGCAGCTTGGGTGTAAATTCAGCCACAGCCCACAGGTATTAAAGGCAATAAAGTGCTGCAGATCTTCTGATTTGAGGACCCATAAAAATAATTTGAGCCTCTTTATTTCTAAACAGAAAAGTGCATGTCATTTGCAAACTGTGCAGTGATGGATATGGCCAGAAGATTATGTTGGCTTTTGCTGTGTCTGGAATTCCAGTGCTGGTCTAATTCAGTATGAGAAACACACACCCCGAAAACAGAAATTTCTAGTGTTTGTATGTAACCTGTGCTTTTGGGCTCAAGCAGATGCTTGGGGATTCTTCTCCTGCCCTGTAAACCTTCAGATTTGTTTAACAGCTTCTGCTGCTTTTACAAATTGTGTTTTTTCTTGCATTAAACATCTGATGGTTAAATTATTTAAAATGTGAAGCAGTCATTTATCTAATCAGTTTTACTGTTCAGAAAGAACATCAGAATTAAGTTTTGTTAGAATGCATTTGCAGCTTTTCAGTATTAATATATTGTTATATTGTTAACTAGTTAATATTTGTGATTGATTTCAGCAAGCCAAAAACCTAAAATAATATGTGTAGCAGAAGAGTTAGTTCAGTTACTTACCTTAATGCCCATATTTGCACATTATTTCTAACTATGCACTTAAAAGCTGTTTCAGTAACTGAATTTGTTTACAATCGACACAGGGCTCATGTAAGTCTACAGGAGTTGCACTGAGACTTGAAGCTCAAATCTGGTGTTGCTTTTACTTGGATTTTTCCCCAAGTTGCCTTTCAATGCTCACCAGTGTCACTACTCAAGGCTTTGCCTTGAGCTCCAGGACTCCATTGGTAGCATCTGCCTTCAGCTGCTTCAGGCCATTATATTTTAATGTTAGAAATACTTTAAAAAGTTGAAAAAGGGCTTTGAGTATTGGTTGGGGGCGAGGAAAAAGGAAAAATTACCTTGTGGGAAAACAACAAAGGAACCTTTTCTATTGGGGCTGTTCTTAACAGTGCTGCTTCTAGGAAGCAGTTCAGATAGCAAACTGTAAGGAACAGTCTTGGAAGCTGCTCAAGTTTAAACATCTGATTTTTAATGTAAGAAAAAACAGCTTTGCCTTTTTAAGATGTTTTCTGTCAATGGTGTACCATTTCACTGCCTCAGCAAACCAAGTGATGTAAGCTACTGATTTAGATTCCATAGATTATCTCAGTATTAGCTAACATGGAGCCCAGGTGAAGATACCACTGTTGCTCCTCTGTAGTTTTAACTTTCTCTGTTAACTATCAAAAACTGTTTCTCAGTGTAGGCACTTGAGACCATGCACGATAGTGTAACCTCATTGTCTAGAAGTGTGTTTGTTGTATTCTCTGCTGCATTGGGACCATCTCAAATTTCCTGTTGGAGATTTCCTGGTTTCTAGAATTACGCATTCAGGACAATGAATTTTGGGACCATGATCAAGTTCTGTGTTTGTACTTTTTAATTCTCTTTAGCTGGAGAAAGACTCGAGGTCCATCAGCCCAGACAGCTGTATCATCTGTGAGCAACTTCCTGCCTGGTTGGGGAGAAAAAAGTCTCTTATGAAGCAAAAGAAATATGTTAAGTTGAAATTGGTTCAGTTGGGAAAGAAATCTGCATTTCAGACAAATACAAGTTAAGTAAAACCAGATTATTTCACCACTTTCTGATTATTTAACCATGCAAGATCAGTTATAATCTGTAAAGCACTTTGTATGGTGACTGGAATGTACTCTGCTAGCCTCCCTAAGACACAATATAACTTTCTTCACACAGTGATCATTGCTTAAATTTTGTCTATTTCATATGAAAAATTATTCAAGGACGCATTTGTAATTTTACAGTCAAGAAGTACTTTCTCATAATTGGCATGGGATGCTGATGGATTTCCTATTTTGTACAAATGTTTGGCTTTTAATGTGCTTGCATATTTGTTGCATATTTGTATGTCATCTAGGAAGGAGCTAAACTAATTTCTTAATTCCTGACCTTGTATCCAAAAACCTGTTTACTGTTTGCCAGATTAATAGTATTCATCTAATGACAGTATTTCAGTACTTCCAAAGTGCATCTGAATTTGAGGTGAAGAAAAACTGGAAGAATGCTTACATTGGTTTATCAGGATTGGATGTTCAGCTAATGATTTAATTGTATTTAAGGAAATTCTGGTTTGGTTTTTAGATTTTTAATTCACCATTTGACCATGTGCCTTTTTACTAAATTGTGTCAAAAAAAAATAATGAATGTAGGAGGATAAAAAGTTTGAGTTTTGCTGTCTCAGATTCTATATCCTTAAACCTGAGAGTGTGACATTACAGAATTTTCAGAAAACCCTTCCAGGTCTGGCTTTGATTGCACAATTAAGGTAGCTACTTCTTTACTGCTAATGCTAAATCAATGAAGGGCACTTTCTATTGATGACTACTTTTTGAAAATGTCTTGTATTTACACTTGAGCTGTATTTCACTTTACAGCGATGTCTTTTGGAGGCCAGGGTTTTGCATATCACAGGAAGCCTTAGTGTGCAACTCTGTGCTGTGCTTTAAAATAAAAATCTTTCAAGAAGTATATGAGATCTTTATGGAAATCTGGATTTATTTTTGTGTAAAGCCCAAAATATTGTCCAGGAAAACTAATTTTCTATTTTTTTTTTTGCATTTTGTAACATAATCTAGTAGGTGATACATATTTCTAGATATAGCATATTTCTGGAGACCAAAACATGTCAGAAATAAATATATGGAGAGACTGGTGTTTAAATTGTGATGAATGTACTTCTATTTATTTTGGTGAGTGGGTGTGACACAATATTAAAGTGTTAGTGTGTAAATAAGGGTGCTTCTAGTTTTAGCCAATGATTTTTTTCCTTTGGGGATATCATGTGTGCACAGTGTCTTTTTACATAATGTGACAAATCAGGTTAAAAACTCGTACATAGCTTACCTGCCCTCTGGTGCTGTCAAGGAAGTGTATACTTTAGCACACACAAAATGCATATACATTTTGCAGAGTATGTATACAATAAATTACAGGCATTAAACATTTTACTGCTATTTCTCATTGGTTTACTTTCAGGGAAGATTTCTCAGAATTACTTTCTGCTGTTTCCTCTGAGCTTTCACATACAGCAGTATCAGTCTCAATGTTGTCCCAGAATGGTTCTCATGCAGTCAGTAAGAAGGTATGAAAAATGTAATGGAGTCACTTAAGCCTTCAGGAGAGATCTGAAAGTTCCTGGTGTCTCCTGCAGTTTAGGCTGTGACATAGTCTGTACTTGGAGGAAATGTATCTAGAATGATAATATACCCAAGTGTGCCCATTGCATTTAATCTTTTGCATTTGAAGTGTTCACAAGCAGCATCCTTCTTGGGTTTCCATATTCCCATGTAAGGAGTCTGAACTCCCTTGATGGTTGTCTCCTCTGGAAGGGTTTTCTGCTTTGATGGTAGAAGAAAATGACTGTTCTGATCAGTGGGTACTGTGACCCACTTCCATGAATGGATGGATGGATGAATGGATCCACATCAGTGAGCCCACATGCCTTTACGATGAACAGCAATGCTTGCACACTCTTGTGCTTAAAATATTCTTCTAAAATATTGCAAATCTGCATTTAATGTGTCCTATGAGTACCTTGTTTTGAAGATGTGAAATGTTACATTAAAAGTGTCCAAAGAAGGTATCTTAATAGCTGTGATCAGTCAATCTCTGCCATTATTTCAAGGCAGAGATGTTCTGTTCAAGTGGAGGGTGGCTCTACATTGAGTCATTATCTTAACCCAGCCAGTAAAGCTACTTCTGGAAGCAAAATAATTTTATTCAGATTTAGGGGGAGGAGGGGAAAGTAATTACATGTTTCCTTGTTTGAGGACGCTTTTAGTTGTAGTTTATTTGGAATAACATTTCAGTTCCACAAGACAGAACTGCAATTTATTTATCTCATAGCCTATTCTTACCCTTAGAACTGTATATGGAAACATTTATTTTTCCATGAGCCTGGGAATCTAAAAAGCCTTTGATATACCATGCTTACTCTGTGGAGTGAAAGTAGGGATAGAGGTAATTCCTGAAGCAATCAAATATGTCATGAGTTTAGCTCAGACTTCTCTGTCCACAAGTAACAGTCCTGTTTTTCCACACTATCTGGTGCTTAATTTGTTTTGAGGGTTCCTCTTTGGTTCCTCATGGGAGTCTTGGGTTTTGCCTACGTCCTTCTTTCTCCCTCCACTGACAAATTCATGACTTGTTCTGTATCCTGGATGTAACTTTCTCAACATTCCTTGCTTGAGAACAGGCGAGTGTCTGATGCAATCTCTCATACTCTGTGTCTGAAAGTTGATGGCAATCAACAAGTTAAAGAATCAAGAGCTTCAGTAGGTTGTTTTTGGTTGAAGGGGTTGGCTTGACTCTGATTTTAAAAACACTTGAGTGTAGAGTTCCAGGTTTTGTAGTGCATGGGAATAACTGAACACATACTTGTGAGCACACAGAGTACAAAAGGCTGTTTGAGCCCCTTACATGTGCTTCTCCATGTATTAAACCTCTCTTGTGGATGTCTTCAGGACAGGTAAGTAGCTTCCTTGAATGATGCAACTAAAGGTGCATGATATTTGGAGGGGGTCTGTCCTCAGCTCCCTATCACAATAAGGCAGTAATTCTCCCTGCCACCTTCTTCCAGCTCTTGTGTTGTACGGATGCCTTGTGGTCCTTACACATGTCCAGTATGTCAGGATTTTACCAAAGAAATGTGTATAGTGGAGCAGAGCATCTGTGGATTGACCTGCTGCTCTGCAGCTGATGAATAACACTGATTATGGTTATTTTTGGACAGGAGGGATACTTCATCTGGTTCTTAGTTTGTACAGAATGTGCAGGAAGGGTTTCTGAGACCTCCAGAGTGGTGTCAAATGTGACTGTAAATGATACATAGATAGTTACCTGGTCCCACAAGGCAGATACTGAGAGTTCAGGCAGAGGGATGTACTGCTGTTACCACCCTCTTCCCCAGCCAAAAGGAGGGAGCCAGCAACCCCTCTATTAGCCTGGCTGCTGTTTGCCAGCTGTGTACAAAGGGAATGTGGCAATGGC